TTCCCTGTGCGGTTCTCCCAGCTCCCAACCCCCCTCCCTCTGGTCGTCACCAGATTGTCCTCTGTATCTGTGAGTCTGTTTTTGCCAAGCTGATTTTTACGTGCTCTGGAGTTCTCTGTCGTAGGCGAGTGTTGGCCTCCATCCTCTTTGCTTCTTTCACCATGCAATTCGACAGACATAATAATAGTGATAATTGTAGGTATTTTCAAGTGGACAAGGAAAGCAAAACTATTACAGGAGAAAAGAAAATACATCCCAGCCAACCCTCAAAGGTACCTACCAAATTCACATGTTTAGCTTCTGCTTTTCCCAGAGGCTCAGTGTATTTCCATCCCCCTCACTAGACAAAGTGACTTTCCCGCTGGCACCCAAATGACACCTTCCTGAATACAGACATTCTTTCCACCATCAAAACCAGCTTTTCCTTTTGACTTTTTGACTTTGATCAGTGGCACTGACATTCTCTCAGAACTGAAACTTTTTAGTCACTTTTGGCTCTGTTCTTTGTCTTGCCTTCCATGTCTATGTCCAACAAGTCACCAGACCATTCAGTTCTTACATAATGTTTCACATCTGGTCAGCTCTCCCTTTCTTCTTCAGATTTATTTTGTGTTAGACCTTGATTATTTCAGGAGTCTCTTTCCTGGGTTTCTGCCACAGACCTAGTCCCCTTCCAGCTATCCCGTGCAGTCTCATCGCCTTCATCTTGCCCAGACCGTCTCATTCATTCTCATGCTCAGGAACCTTCAAAGGCACGCACAGTTACTTTTCAAAAACTTAACATTAAAAGTAGCCGAGTGCGTACCATGTGCTGAGTGTTTCAACGCGTCACTTTGCTTAGTCCTTCCTACAGCCCTCTGAGAGTGATAACTGGTGTTATCCCAATTTCAAGGAAGTTATGGTGCAGGGAGGTTCAAACTTGATCAGGGACACACAGGTGGATTTGTGTACAGGTCTGTCTGACTCCAAAGCCCATGGTGAATTTTGGTTGAAAAGCTCAGCTCTAATTTCCAATCTCAATTCTCCATTTACGAGTGAATAAGGTACCTACGCCATGGCATTGCTGTGAGGGTTAAATGAGGTAGTAACAACATAAGTCACTTTGTGTGGCGGTCGGTAAATTTGTAAATTTGACTTTGCCATGAGTTTCTCACAGGCACTTATTTCCCAGATCGTAAGCTTTTTGAGGGTGAAAACTGCCAGTTAGTAGCAGTAAGATTTAGGTAGACATTTCCCGATTGGTTGGCCATCCATCAGACCC